GTCTTTTTTTTTTTTTTATTTTTTCTTTCTATCCCTAGGTAGTGGAGTAAGTTATTCGTACATATGTCTGGCCAATGGCCTACTTGGGAAGAATTTAGCTAGCAGGACGAGCCATTCCGTCTGGCCTCCTTTCGACTGGTCCCAGGTTTAATTTCTTCATTTAACAATCGACTGAAAAACTCCACCTGGAGGAGATTATTCGTATGTGCGTCGATGAAATAAAAATATATTCAATGATCCCAGCCAGGTGAAGGTTTTCCCTCTCTCTTGAAATTCTTATTCATGCTTTCTCCCCTTACCACCGACCTCAAGATCTGGAGTTTTAATTAAGCATCGCCGACCCTATCTTACTTCTCACGGTTCACGCTCCAGGTATTCCCAATAACGACTGCTCCTAAGGTTCGAGACGCGTCCTCTCCTTCGTCTCTCTTTAACGAAACTCCACCGGCTATGCACTTCCTTCCAAGGAATAAAAATAATCCCTCGACGTTCCCGTCGCCGCGTCGGCTGACCTGGTTTAAACCGCGGCCGCTCCACCGAGGTAATTAATTACACGCTTACGCAGTGAACGGGCGATGCAATGTCACGATCGGACAAAGGAAGTGACCCTAACCTTGGACGAGGTGAGGATAAAAATTCATCCCGATCGAGTTTCCCCTCGACGTCCTTCCCGCTTGGAGTCTTCCCTTGAAAGGGTGACGTCGAGGCGAGAGAATGTCACAATTTCTACCTCCCTCCCATAATTCCTCTCCGGAATCAACGTCCCTCTGTCCACGATCTAAAGTGGACATTCGGGGACCACGTATCACCCGCCCTAAGTGGTACATGTATCGACATTTCATATTTCATAATTCCATCTATATTAGAGCCTCCATTATCCTGAATGCACGTTCAAGTACTCGACTATCGAGTCAATGGGGATTTTTTTCGCATACGAATAGACTCGGGTGAAAAATGTCCCCTCATTGCGGAGTCGCATCTTCGCAACGCGAAAGCTGATTTCGTATGATCTCGTATGATCTCGTGTGATGTATGATCTCGTGTGATCTCGTACGATCTCGTATGATCTTCTTTCCGGAGCGGAGGGTGCAAAGATCGGTAGAAAAGCGTCAAACCCAGGACGACGAGTGTTGGCCGGTGGCGTCGCGATCTCCAATTTCCACGTCAGCGTCTTTCGGAAAATCCTCCCGACGTCGCGATGCGTCCGTCTGGAAGACTTCCAACTCGGCCCTACCTCACTGGCTGCACAACCGGCGATCGTTACATCAGCGGAGATTATGCCGCGATCTGGAAAACACGACCTTGGCCGGCGTACCGTACACCTGTACATCGAGCCGGCTCGGTCACGTTCTCCGGCGCGCGAAAATTACGCGTACGCGTCTCGTACACCTTTTGGACCCAGAGGGTACCCAAGAAAAGGAAAAGAAAAGAAAAAAAAAAAACTCCCACTACGTCTAAACTCGCGTCGAAAAATGCAGTTCGGTACGAACATCCTCGATGAGCGATAAAAATACGGCGCATCGACGTAATCCGAGATTGCGAACGAAAGACTTCTTTCTTCGGACTGATCTCCCAGCGGCGCGATAAATCGCGGTTTCGTTGCCCGGTCACGGTATCGCGGGGAAAGTCCTCTTCCTCGTCCCCTCCGAGGCTCGCCTCGGAGTCCCGGGCGACGAGAGACAAAAAAAGTACCCTCCAGGGGTCCGCCCTCGGGCGTTTCCGTGCCGTCCGAGCACGAGACCGAGGTCGCCGAACCCGCGGGCTCGGGTAAATATATCGGGAAGTTAGCTAACCCTGGCCCAGGCTGCGGCTTTATATTTAAAGCCGGGCGTGAGAATCTTCGCGCCGTGAAGCGAGTCGGCTCGACCTTGAACCGCGCGCGACGTCGCGTCGCGTCGCGTCGCCTGCGCCAAGGTCCGCTCCCGCGATCGGAAGAGAATGGCGACCTTAAGGACGGTAACGAAAGGCAAAAGGTGAGGTAAATGTTACCGTTTGCCCTGCAACGCTCTTCCTCGTACCCTCGTTTTCCGATAATTTAAAGCCGCCGTCGCGCGGGTTCCACGCTTCGATGCGGGCACTCGAGCGACGCCATTTTCGACATTTTCGGCGCATAGAAGATTCCCCACCGTGTAGTATTACCTCGTGGAATAACTTCCCGGGGTTTTAATTACGTTAAGTTGCGTTTAAAACGGCGGAAACTTATTCCTTAACCTAATAGTACGAGGAGACTGAACGAGTATGGTCGGTTTCACCAGAATCGGGATCCAGGATCTCAGATGTTTCGTTGATCCGACGACGCGAGCGCCCCTCGCGGAAATTCAGGGAACTCCGATCGAAGGCATTTCCAATCGGCGTAAATGATCTAAAATGCTTTTCACTTTGCAATTAAGGTGCGCAGGAAACGTTAGAAGGGACAGTCCCGATGAAAATCGGGAATCTCGTCGCCACGTCGAATCGACTCCGCTCCACTCGAGGTATTCGGTCGGACGGAGCGGCGGCGCGCGTGGTGGCATCTAGCGAGCAAACGCGAGGTTACCCGTCCGCCCGTCATGGAAGGGAGTCCTCCAATTAGGAGTCTGCTTTATCGACCGAGTGGCCCTGGGGCAACGACCCCGTTGTTGAGGAGCGCCTGACCTATATTACATAAGTGGCCCGTATACGTATAGACACGTAACACACGGGCGGGCAACGGTACACGCGTGAGTCCCCGCCGAAGCGATAGACAGACGAGAGGGACGAAGACAGGCCGAAAGCGAGAGGAGAGAGACGCCGGCTGGTTACTCTCGTTCCCGGATCAGCTCCGTTGACGCGTAAGAAAAAAAAAAAAAGAAGAAGAAAAAAAAATCCCGACGTGCGTGCACTCGTGTGCAAAAAAGAAGCCGCGCGTTAAGGCGCGTCCACAGGGCGGGTTGACACGTGGGGGTGGGCCGAGGGGGGGAAATTAAAATAAATGCGTTGTCGAGCTTAACGCGCACGTGGGGCGGCGGTTCAGCGCGTATACGAGAAGTTATGGCCGGAAAAATGAGGGATTTGACGTTCCATTAAGGTCGCTGATGAAACCCTCGCATTAAGGGGGGGACGTTACTTTTAGGGTACTGGAAAATGTAACCGGGCCGTGGATCGAGTCATGAGTTTAATTGGAAATTGTTCCACGAGCGGAGGGCCGTTCGCTTTGGATGCCCCAGTGGCGATACAGGGGTAGAGTTAGTTTCGAGCAAAGACGTGGACGCCCCTTCAGGGGGGCGCTCGGTTATGGGGTTAATATGCCACGAGGGCGGCCGTCATCGATGTAGCGAGAGAAGGTCGTTTAATGACTAAAGAAGAATGCGGAAACGGTGGCGGTACCCTCCTCGAGGCGAGATCCCTCGCCCATTGAGAACCGCTGAGGTCGGGTCCGAAATGTTTGAGCGAGACAATTGATTGGTTCCATGTGGCTCTAATTTATGTGATTATAAACGCATCGGCCCTCTCTCTCCTTTCCTCTTTCTCCGCCTCGGCCTCGAAACTCGCGGGCGACACATTTCGATTCGCTTGCGAGTTTCACGCCAACAAGTGATGGATGACTTCTGTATTATCGAGACGAGGTGCAGCCTCGTAGCCAGGAATTTCTCACCGAAAGGCGACGATTACCGGGAAGCACCGTGTAATCGTCGTCGGCCATCGATTCGGCCGTATCGGGAGATGTACTCCAATTTCGGAGGCATTATCTCGGTTAGATTATTCGAGCCACGGCGTTGAGCCTTGTCCGATTCTTCCTTGAGCCATTCGAGCTCTCTCCCTTACCTCTCAACTATTGTCCAGCCTAAAGAGGTCCACCCATTCCAGAGATTCTTCTCTCTGGGTCGAGCCTTCCCAAGGATTGCGCAACCGATTGATACAAACAATCCTAGTGGGTAATGTTTATATACTCGATGACATCGAAACCCCTGCACATTTTCCAATGTGTTTAGTCATTTAGGTGGACTTACGCATTCGCGCTGGTTCTCACCCTGATACGAGTGGAATGAGCCAGGATGGGTCGACGCAAGAATGGTGGAACTGGGACTCGACCCTATCCCAACACCGAGATTAGAGCGTATATAGGACTAGGTTTAGGCGCCAGGAGTCGACGCAACGATGGCTCGTCCATCGCGATCGGTCATTTCCGCTCGCATTTTAGGTTAATAATCGGTTCGCGCCCGTTTAGAGGACGGATCGTGGAGGTCGGCTCGTCGTCGCCCTTTCGGTGGGGCACGGCCCCCGGGAGCTACGTACCTGCCGCCACGAAGGGACGGCCTCGCCAATATGTCGGGCTCTAATCCCAGGAATCTCGAGTGGCCGCAGCGGGCTGCTCCGTTTGTCACGAAACACTGCACATATCACGTGTGGCGGGCGCGCTCGTCCCTCGGAGGTTAAGCCTCGTCGTATCCGTTCGCGCGACAACGGGCCTCGCCTCCACTTATCCCCGAATGTCTTCGCGAGCCGCGGTGCGCCGAGGCGACGCCATCTTCCCTCACGGTGGCTATCAGGAGTCGCGCCTCCGTGCTCGGGTCCCGGACACGGTGTGGCTCGATTTCATTTTACGAGGCAACGGCGCCGACTCGAGCGCCACCTCTCGCGGGACGCGGCAAGCTCCTCGACCACGCCGGTAACGTAGGTTAGATTGCTCGTTACGAGATTCGAGTCGCGAGAATGCTCGCAAGATGGCGCGCCGAGGCGATTCCTCGTTAATTCTTCGAGGTCTTTAATGATTTTAGGGGTTTACTAAGCTTGCTCTCTGGGCGGTCGGTCGGCCAGCTGGGGGATTGGCGGTTTTGTAAATGGCTTTTCACGGGAGGGGTGTAACCTTGGAAATGTATTAATATACGCGATTATGTTTCGGAGGGATTGAAAAGAAGTTCCCGATTCGGTAGGTAACGTCTGAACCTGTCGTATGAAATAAAGATCGCGGGGAACGGTTTCGCGGCTAGGCCGCTAGGCAACTGTAAAATATCCACCGCCGGAGCTCTCCGGTATTCTTTGTTCGCAGTTGCCGAATAGAGTAGTTCCGAATTTATCGTTAGGAAATATCCGACCGAACGATCCTTGCAGCGTGGCTCTGCACTAGCAAATTCTTGTGATAGAATCTTTTTTTAATTTTCAAGGGCACCTTACGCGTCCCGCAATTGCAACGTGGTGGATCACTGTAATCTTAGATACAGCACCACCACGGGGTATGTAGCGACAAATTCCTGATTTTGAGGTTAACCTTCGAGCGGTATTGTATTCCCGGAGTTTTCAAAATAGCTGGGCTCGAATTCTTTCGAGGTGCAAATTTCGGTCTCGTCCTGCTGTTCGTTATGTCGCGAATATTGTCTCGGGATTGAAGGGATTAACCTTTCGAGCGGCAATAAAAATACCTAGCTTGGAAGTTCATCTTCCTGAATGGTTTTTGTCTTCTCAGCGTATTTCAGGGAATTCTCACATCGTTGAAACATGGCTCATGGCGTGACTAGCAGGATGTATCATTTCGAAGAAGATCGTCACACTAATCATCAGAAGGACAATGGCGAGTTGCTGTTCTTCTCGAGTATAGACGATGCCACGAAGTCTTGGTTGAGTTCCTTGCATCGTATCTGGGGTTTATGTACGTAACACGATGCACCTGTAAATTTGTCGACATGTCGGTCAATGATCTAACGACTAGCTGCTTTTAGGGAAAAAAAGCAATGCAGTAACCAAGACACTTACCGATTACTTTGACACTGCCCCAAATCCTTATCTTAGCACTCTTAGGATTCTAGTGAACACTTCTGACTTTAATCATATCAAGAGCCGGTCATCTTTGGCAGTCACAGGTCCGTACTGAAAACGTAACAGTTTTTTTAATCTAACGGTGAATTTATATGAATTAAATTCCTACACCATGCTTTGACGCTAATCAGTTTGTTCCATAAAACAGTTATAGAAGAATTTTCAAACTGGCTGTCCTCTCGCAAAGATATGTATAAAGAATGTCTAGTCCTTGACTTAAAGTTAGCAGCGTTCATGTTGGTTAGTAAACAGAAGAACATGTTGTTTATAAAACTGGTCTCGGATGTTTACGAATTTGTGAAAGATAAGGAGTTGTTTCTGCCTATGGTCCAGGTACTGTACTAATATTTTAAGAGAAATAGAAATAAGAATACTCATCCGTTAAGTGCAATTAACATCCTGTGCTACACGTTTAGAAATCGACAGTTATTGATTTCAGAAATTACTAGAAAAAAAGAAGTTCAAAGAAGCTGCCCAGTTTGCAGCCATGCTGTACTTGCAATCTCACTTTGCTAATCCTGAGATCGTATTATTGCCCCTCATACTTCAAAGCAAACTCGCGGTAGTGGATGATTTTATAGCACCTTGCCCAGATATACAAAAGAATTTAGTAATGTATTTAGACAACCTAATGGCACCAGGAAGCAGTATGCATAATACGTTGCATTATTATATCCAGTGAGTCAAACTACAATGAGAATGAGATGAGTTACTGTTACCAGGACTAACTTCAGGATCCTTTATAGAAACAACATGATTCCTGACGTGAAAATGTCCACGACGGAGACCAGACCAATGGCTAGGCTGGTAGCTCGTTTGGCTAAGACATACAACTTGTCCCCTGACGTCTGTCCAAATTTGAATCAAAGACGAGGCGAGGGGGCTTTACAATTTTTAATGTACAAACGCTACATGGAGGGTAGCATGAGTGAGTAAAAAATAGTTTTTAAATTCCACTCGAACTTGTGCAAAATATCTCCTCGCTAACAGTGGTGCCGTACCACGATCTGAATTTCTGCTTCTTCGCAGGTGTCGAAAGTTGGAGAGAAATGGCTAGAGAGGCCGTGGGCAATAATACCAAGCTGCAAACGGAGCTGGTTAAAATACTTGCAGGCGCGGGGGACCATGAAGAAGCCCTCTACTGGGCGAAGACCTACAACGTACCGAAGCAACAGTGGCCATGGTCGTTGACGCACATGAAAGATCCTATCCAAAATCGTAAGCCTTTTCTGCACTTCCCCCTAAAATTGTCCAGTTAATAATAAAATTGTAATATGCATTCTGATGCAGAACAAAATTCGGGCGCAAGCGGTAGTGGTGAAGAGACGTGGGATACCGAGGAGGACTCTGTGATATACCATGAGTTACAGTTGCCCATGGATTGCATTAAAGTCATCGACAATCCCAGGTCTTTCGAAGAGTTCTTCGACGAGGGTCTGAAAGGCGTCTCCATTGTTGGAATAGACTCCGAATGGAAGCCCAGTTTTGGTAACTAATGCATTCAACGATAACGAGTCAAGTTTAAAAGCACCTTGGTAGAGGTCCTAGCGCTGAGGTCGTCAAATTGATTATCTTCAAGGTATCAAGCAGTCCGAACTGGCGCTGATACAGATTGCGACTGAGACGAACGTATACATCCTGGACGTGACAACAATGGGCAGCGAGCTGACCAATCTGTGGACAGAGCTGCGTCTGGTTTTGTTCGAAAATAAAAACATCATCAAACTCGGTAAGTTGGTAACGAGGTGTATTCGATTCCAAGTCGTATAATTTCTGTTCTTTAATTAGGTTTCAGTCTGGCTCATGACGTGACAATGATGCGCGAGAGTCTACCGGCAATGTCGAACGTAAAGGCCTGTGGCCAAGGCTACGTGGACATGTTGCAGCTCTGGAGGAAGCTGGTACAAGAGCACAAATTTGAGTTCCCCTTCAAAGGGGATGAAAGTTTCACGAACGAGAGCCTGAGTAAACTCGTGGAGATCTGCACGGGAAATAGGCTAAAAAAGACCGAGCAGTTCTCCAACTGGGAGCGCAGGCCTCTGAGAGAGAACCAAATCATCTATGCCGGTCAGTGGGATTGTCGTTGAAGAGTTCTTGCAATCTTGAGGCATGAGGAATTTTTTTTCTGCAGCTCTAGACGCATACTGCTTGCTGGAGATCTTCGAGGTCCTTCAGGACCAGTGCCAGAGAATGGGCATACCTTTCCAGGAGGTCTGCGCCGAAGTCCAGCATATCGCCCATAAGTCGCCGAAAAAACCTCCAAAAAAAGCCTTGCCGAAGGTGCGGTATTTTTTTTTTTTTTTCTTTCGACGGAGCCCACTAACCTGAATGCTTTTGAATCATATTTATTCCGGGTGCAATTTTCTTCAGGACGGAGCCGCAAACTCACGGGCGACCAGAAGCACCTGTAGTCAAGAGTATCAGGTGCTGGAGTCCAGACCGGTCTCCGTGCCAGCCCACGAGTGGCGGGTAGTTTGCGACTCCATGCTCGGTGGACTGGCTAAGCAATTGCGCATCTGCGGTTGCGACTGCGTGTACGTCGAATTCGATTGCGGTGGTGATCGCTCGGCAAAGTTGGCCATGCAGGAGCGAAGAGTTCTGCTGAGCCGTGGCGGAGCCTGCCAACGGGTACGACTTTCAGAGAAATCGTATGCAGTGTCGGAGACGTCCAGTTAAAAAAAATAAAAAATCCCGTACAATGTATTTCAGTTCGCGCATTATCTGCCTCCCGGTAATTGTTACAATGTCATCTCGGATAAACTCGAGGACCAGCTGAAGGAGGTCCTCTCGCAGTTCAACGTGCTGGTCATGCAAAGGGATATCTTCAGCAGGTGTCAACTGTGCAATCAGGACGAGTTCGTCCACGTGTCCAGACATACCATGGCCGAACTGGTGAAGAGGTGTGTCCTCTGGATTTCTTGAATTAATCCAAGTCCCGACGAGAGTAGATCGAAAGCTATTCTTTTCGCAGCTTCGCCAGACGCATACACGGAAGCGATCGTCGTCCAGGTCGTCCTTCCTCGGGACCTAGTTTCAACGGCGAGGTCACCGGTAGGTCCGACAGAGACCGTTCCTTCTTTGACTTGGAACGAAAGCAGCAGGACCGAACCTGGCGGCTCTGCGACGAGGATACTCTGGACGTGGTCAACTGCACGACCAAGTTCGGCATCTTGGTGCAGATTGGGCGTATTCCAAACAACGTTGTCAGGAACGTTCAGCACTTCTACGTGTGCGAATACTGCGGCAAGGTGTACTGGGATGGCTCTCACATGGAGCGCGCCTTGAGCGGTGTCCTCAGAGACATCATCGTTCAAGAGTGAACGGCGAGAGAACGAGTGGAAGGAAACCTGGAGTATTATCGCTTCCACACTGACGTTGATGAAGAGCCTCTTCGACCCGTGATATCTTGAAGTCGTCCTCGAGGCTCCAAAGGGGTCGAAATTCCGGGGGGGAATTGCCATTTTACTGTGGTTGTTTTATGTGGATGTGTCGGGTCGTTTAGTCTTCCCCGGCGGATTAATTGGGGTCCAATTTAGGGCCTTCGTTCACCGTCGGTTGCGCACTCGCTCATTTTAATAAGCGTGTTATCGTTCCAGTTACGGAATTCGACCGATGAGGGAACGCCAATTCCATTAATAATCGTTAACAAAAAGAAAATTCTTCACTTCAACCGTCGTTCTCAGTCGCCGTTTCAGTCGGTTCCGCGAAGTCTTGCGGTGCTGAGGATGATTTATGTGTTCGGTGTCGCAGAGTCGAGCCTCGTTTCTACGATGAAAATCCGGGTAGCTCTGCGCTCGCCAGATAGACTCCTAGGAGGAGTCGCATATGTTCAGCTATTTCGGAAGACAGGATTTTTGTACGGTAGATAATCCGTGTTGGGAAACGTGATTCGTGGATGAGTAAAATAGGCCGTCTATTTCGTGGAGTCTCTTCTGGGACAAGTATTTGATAGTCTTAGGTGTGGTTGGGCGGAACTTCCGGACGACGAGTCGCGAAGCTCTCCTCTGTCCTCGTCGTTCGATGGTTTTCTGCGGTCCTAGTTGTCGGTCGTTTCGCGAGGGGCCGCAACCACCGCCAAATTTAATGATAAAACTATACAATGAAATGTTCACTGTCAGTGATAACGTAGTCGTTAGGGAATTTGACGTGGGACCGTTGACCTGGTTGAGTGACCTGGGGTTGATCGTCTTTAATAGTCTTACCTATTCCTCCGTACGCTTAATAAGGTCTGATACCCATTAACGTTACGGGGAAGACCTGTTAGAGTACAAGGCAACGTTATTTTCCTTTCTTACAAAGGTATATTTTTTAGTTAAACAAGTAATATATAGATTTATATACGTAAATATAGAGTCCATTTCGACGAGGAGTGAATTTAAAGATAAATGTCCAAGATCATAAACGGTTATACCTTCTCGAATAAAATTTGATTACTCCTTAACTCTGATCTTTCCATTTTATTGCGACTACAAAAGGTCATGCTTTTCTGAACGTGACGTAATGAATGGCGAAAATGGAAATTACCATAGTGCTCTAATTAGTGACGACGCGATAATCGATGACTTTTTCAACAGCTCGAGATATTTACAAGATGAGACGCGGTCACCAACTAAGCTGCTGCTGGTTCTGGCGTAGAAGCTTGCGGCGAGTTGTTGGACCCTTCGAACTCCAAAAGCTCGATTAACACCTTTTTTCCATAAGGCGGGGGACCGATCAGCTTTTCAATATCTTCGTGAGACAGAGTCTCTCTTTTCAACAAGTTTGAAGCGATCTACAACATTTTATTTAGACAACGGACGCTTGGCCAAAATAAGTCATAATGGAGAAGTCATGAAATTGAGCTTACCAATTCCAACTTGTCCATGTTCTGTCGCAGTAACGTTTCCGTACTCGTATATGCCCTCGCGATCAATCTCCTTGCTTCCTCGTCCATCACATACGCCAGTTTCTTACTGTACAATTTCTTATTTTTCTAAAAAAAAAAAAAATACTCGCTTTAAGAGTCCTTAAAAAATTGCTTTATATTTTTTTCCTATCTATGAGGAATTTACCGTGGTAAGGTGTTCCTTGTCAAACGCAAGAAGACCTACGACAGGACTCATCCCAAACTCCTGGACTTGTGAGTATGCCATCTTGGTAACCTTGTCCAAGTCATTCTGCGCTCCTGTTGTGATTTTGTTGAAGACCAGACTCTCTGCCACCCTCCCACCGAGAGCCATGCACATCCTATCGAAGAGTTGCTCTTGATTGTAGAGTTTCTGGTCGGCAGGGGTGTATTGAGCGAAGCCCAAGGCCATGGTAGTTCTTGGAACTATGGTGACTTTGAGTAGAGCATCGGTGTGTTCCAAAAGCCAGCCAACCAAAGCATGCCCGGCTTCGTGATAGGCAACTACTCGTTTTTCCGAAGGCGAAATGGCATGGCTCTTCTTTTCCGTTCCTCCTACCGTTCTGTCGATCGCGTACATCAGATCACTTCCATCGACGATCTTTTTCTTAAATCTAGCGGCATGCAGAGCTGCCTCGTTGCATACGTTTGCTATGTCAGCGCCTGGAGATATTTAATTATGTAACTTTAGGCATTAGACGTTGAGGTAAATAAGTATTTTACCACTAAATCCAGGAGTAAGGTAGGCCAATCTTTTGGAGTAGGTCGAGGGAGCGTGCTCCAAAGTGATGCCCTTGAGGTGCTGCTCGAATATCTGCTTCCTCTCTTCCAAGGTAGGCAGGTCGATTAATATATGCCTATCGAATCTTCCAGGTCTTAAAAGGGCCTTGTCCAGAACCTCAGATCTGTTCGTAGACGCGAGAACGATGACGCCTTCCTTCGAGGACATACCATCCATCTCCACGAGCAGTTGGTTTAATGTCTGCTCCGATTCCCCAGAACTTTGGAAGGACAGTTCTTCTGCCCGCTTTTTGCCTATCGCGTCGATCTCGTCGATGTAAATTATGCTCGGTGCCCTGGAACAATGTACGTTCGTTGTACGGTTCTGAACCTCCGAGACAATGTTTAATTGAGTTTTCAGATTCATGCCTTTTTCGGCCTTCCTTGAATAAATCTCTAACTCTAGCTGCTCCAAGTCCTCCGATCATCTCAATGAACTCTGAACCATTCATGGATAGAAAAGGTACATTGGCTTCTGTTGCGACGGCCTTTGCCAAAAGTGTCTTTCCACAGCCAGGAGGGCCCAGAAGCAAGGCTCCTGAAAAAGTAATTTATATGAATGTTTATATTACTAGTATGATGATTTAATTTTATTGGGCAACAGGGTTAGAAATAAAAGAGACCTCTAGGAACTTTGGCACCAAGAGTTCGGTAGTGCTCCGGGTGTTTGAGGTAGTCAACGAATTCCATGATTTCAATTTTGGCTTCTTTCAGGCCGGCCACGTCAGCAAATCGTACGCCCTTTCCGGTTCCTGTCAATGGATCGACTAGAGTATATTTCGCGCTAGTCATTTGGGAGAAGATGTCCATTGAAAAATTTCCACGTAGTCTGCCTCGGAAAAGAGCTAGGATTAAGGTGATGAGAATAACCGATGCAATGATACTCGATATGACTTCTCCACTGCGTTCATAAACGATCTGCACTCCTTGATCTGGGAGGAAATAAAAATAAAAATTTCAAGGCTGCAATAATTTTTAATTTAGTCGTTGTTTTTATCGATCTATGTAAACATTCGTACCTGGTTTTATTCCAAGAGTATGTTCTGCTTCTCTAATTTTCTCTTCCAATTTGCTAATATCTGCTAATGACATATGGTACACAGGAAACAGTGCACGTCTACCCTTAATAATTGCGCCTGGGTAAAGGTATATAAAAACTGCCTCGAGTTCTGGTCTTACCACAAGCTCTTGGACTTCTCCTTTTGCCAACATTTCATGAACAAATTCATGCCAAGAGACTTGCGATGATTCCTAGAAGTTTAAAATATTATTATTAGACGACACATCGTAAAACTTGAATATTAAAGTTAATTCTATGCTGACCTCCAATATGTTATTCTTTGGTATTTTCGAGAAGAAAAACAATACAAGGTAGAAGGACAGCAACCATACAAACATTTTTATTAGGATAGGTAATAGCTTTTCAAAATCATCATCCTTCTTCGGCCCTTTTCCACTTCCTGATGGATTTGACGAATTGTCTTTCTGAAGTCTTCGATCTGAGGATGTGCTTAAGCTCCTTAAACATTGCCGATAACCAATAGTACCATTCAAATTACTGCGTCGTAATAATGACTGAAATGCCCGAAATTCCCTGCGCAGGTGTCTTAGGTTCTGAAAATAAAAATTCCCTTATCTTCCTAGGAAACCACGTACCAAATAAATAATCGAGACACGATAATTAAATCCAAATAAAATTGATTACTCACCTGATCCTGCAACCAAGTTTGAATGTATCTCTGATGCAATGAGGGAACCTGTCTTACCCCAGAATTTATTGATAGGGCGAGGAATGTTCTCGGCACGATAAAGCGTCGAGCAGAGCACTTTAAAAGGCTCTGCATGCTGATATTCTTCAATTTGCCCCGAACTTTATAAGAGACCGAACACTGAGCATGTCCTCTTTGAGGTTAGAATCGGTTCCACTGGCGAAGCGCACTGCGCACAAAACCACCGAAACTTATGCGTCAAATATATTATTTCTTGGGTACTTTTAACTGTGATCTAAGTGACGGCGCACTGTATCGTGCAATTCGTTACGTAAATTCATTAAAAACGTTCACGAAACCGACTAACGGGAGCCATTGTGGATAAGCTCCACAACTGAAAAATTGCGATGCTGCTACTGACTTGAGCGGATTGCCACCGATGGCGCCACGTAAGCCCTCAATGCAAATTCAAATTATCTCCTGCTTTAAAAAAAATCTCTATATATTAATAAATAGGAATACCTGCTGATATGAAATCCTACATATTTCTTAACGTTAATAGACTAATTCTATAAGAAATAGTATACAAAATATTACCGTGTACCCTGCGATCGGTAACTGGTATTCACGATTTGCAGGAAACGCCACCGATAGCGCCACTTATTAGCCATAGATTGTTTAAGAAATAAACACAACAGTGACATAATGACCTCATGATTTCATCGGGAATCCTATAATTTATAGGTACGTACTGTACTTAATGATGGCTCTATACCTCGTCTACTAACGAATTCCAGGATCGGAAATAGAAATATCCGCGATATGAGGAGTAAGGGGAATATTTTTATCCTGGACATGTTAACCACACTTTGTTGTTCTATCTCACCCATGCAGCGTCTCCACAAACACCATGAGCCCAGGAGGGGTATACGTTTTATGGGGTGTTTTGATAATGTCAGGATACGTCAGACAGGGTTTCCTATCTAATGGATCGTTTTCTCCGTTTTTTCCATTAGACCGCATCCTTTCCCGTAGTTCCGCGGTCATTGATACTACAGAACCGTTTTTACGTTTCCTTAATCGGCAACACACTTTCACGCCATATCTCTAAAGTACTTTGGCAGAAGCTTGCAAAGTTCATTACGAGGAGAGGGATTTTCAAAGGTATCAAGCAGAGCGGAGGATGAGGGGAGCATCTCTCTATGGGGAAACATTTGTTTCAGCTTAAAGTCTTTACCTGACCTTTGGCGGTATCCTCGAAAATTCGGCCATCTGGAAAGACTTGAAACGTGGAAGCGAAGATCGACAGTCTTTGGATTCATCGACAGCTTCGTCTTTACGTGCACTAGGCCGACATTCCCGGATATTCCGCGGAGAGAGAAGAGAGGGCATCAAGGAGGTACTAGTTTAATACATTATGGGAATGTAGCCTGGCCACGGGTTACCTCTTCTCGGCAGAATGACAATACTGGCAGATTAACCAGGGATTAAAGCCTACCGGCAAATGGCGCCACCAGCTAATCCGGTGAAGCCAAGAAATCGGCATTTAACTCGTCCGCAACGTGTCCGGAACTGACTGCGACCGGTTTACCCTTCTCGCAGCCATTTTCCCGGAAAATCCGAAGTCGCTCGCCACCATCTCCGAGGTGTCCCTTTTCACTGTGAAATTTTAATAATATTTCATGCGTTACCGAAAGGAAGTTACTAAAAGGAAGGAGCCTCCTCGGGGTGCGAAAAGGAGCCTTGGAGGCGGTTAGTGTCGTGCCCGAATCGATAGCGACATCAAAGGGCGGCGACAACGGATATGCGTAAACCAGGACGCGAATGCCGGCCGTTCTCGGGAAAACTCCATCAAAGAACCGCGGACGGATGGATGTAAGCGGCCGTTTAGCGAGAACTCGTCGCTAATTTTAATTGCGTCTTGATTTACGCGGGGGCGATATTTCTCGAACGAGGAGGTGGGAAGTCGTGCCGGGCCTCCGTCGAGACCCGCGGCGTTGACGTCGTTATTAGGCACCGTAAAACGCGCCCCGACGACCGAAACTCGCGACAAATTGCTCGTAAGCGCCCAGTAAACGCGAAATGTCGCCACTATTTCACAACACGGAATAGCGTTAACGTTTTCGAGACGCAGTCTTCCCGAGATTTACTCCCGTAAAGGATAGCGATATAATTTGTAAACGTAAAAGTGCCAGGGAAGGAGTTCTCGCGCGGATTCAAGATGGCGGCGCATTAAGTGGTTTACTTCGATGAGCACTCGAGTCGGCGAGTGGCAAACGTGCGTAGATAAGTACCAAGGCGATTCGGTTTGGTTTAATACCACGGTCCGTCACCCCGAGGGTGTTTTCACGGAAAACAAAGAAACCCAGCCCTCTATCGATATTTCCGTCTACTCCTCCACCTTCGGCGCTCTTCTTCGAGCGCGCGCACTGTCGGCCGACCCGCCTCCACGGCTCCCCTTTGCTTTCGCCCCTTTATTTCCGCCAAGCTGGTCAAAATGGGAGCTCTACTCGCAATCGCGTCTAGAAACGTTCGAAAATTCGTAATTCTACAATTAATTCTACTAAACCTCGGGTTTTCACGTCCCTTGCATCCAAGATGGTCAGGACTACCGAAAGAGGCGCGAGACGAGGGAGTCAATCCGATGCTTTGTTTGTCACTTTTCCGTTTCCTTAACAAATCGGTTTCCACGCGCAATCGAGATCGTAGGGCGAGTCCTTCCTGCGTTTCAAAGGGCGTTTCTTTCGGGTCCATCTGCAAAGACTTAGCATCAGTCACGGATATCCTCGCACGGACAGGACGTTCAGGACCGCCCGGGACCGCCCCGGACCGGCGAGCTTCGACCGCTCCCGGCAGACAGCGTGGCACCGAAAATGTCTCCACGGCGGCAATAAGGAAGTGGCCTACTGCTTAAAAAAACAGAGGCCCTCTAATATCGTAGGTCGAGCCTGAGAAAACAGACTCGCCGACTTAGTGCTCGGGAAAGTCTCACGAACCTCCGATCGACTCCGTTCTCGAGTCGTTCTCTTCAATACCACGCATCGACGTTAAACACCCAAGATGTCGTTATCGCATCGCTTTCCAATCTTGGAGCTCCGTTTTTAGTAAATTTTCCAGTCGGTAATAAGAATCACAGGTGGATTTAAGTGCGCCCAGCGAAGTGTCAATTTCAGCCGATTTTAATCCGATCTAATCATGATACGACCGAGGGGTGCATCAGGTGTAAAATCGAAGTGGATATCCGAAAGTGTCTCTCCAGGCCCACAAAGGGCCCTTGTTGTAGGTCCTCCACTGTTTCGTCGTTAAACCGTGAAAGACCGGCGCACTCATCCGGGGTCCCTTTGGCAGGGGCCCACCCCGGGCCCATCTCGGCAGACAGCGTGGCACCCTCGACTTTCGGAGGCGAGTCATCGGCCAATGGCCAACCCTCCGGTTAGCCTAATTAATGGCCCGACGAAAGCTAAGGCCTCGCCGTTTTCCTGCATTCCCTGGCCATCCCGGATCCCCGTTTGCAGATGGGAACCCCGAGGATTTTCTGGGTCACGAACCCGACTCCTTCGCTTTCCTAAACGCGCCTAAACGAACCATTAGACGTTTGTTTCCCGACCGGCCTGCTTTACGCTCCTTCCTCCCTTTACGGCGCTTTCCGTCGACGGATGCTCGGCGTGCCGAAACCTTGAACCTCGAGTTCCGGGCCGTTTCCTGGCGGGCGTAAAAAGCTGAGAGCAATGAGAACGCGCGACTCATCGGTAGACACCCTGGGCTCAAAGCTTCGCGGGTAATGGTGCTTGAAGGAGCGACAGGGCCTCCACTGCGCGAAAAGGAGCACCGTGAAAAAACCTCCCGACGACGACGACGACGACTCGTATATCACGAGGAGCGTTCGACCGTCTGATCGCGGCGTCCCTCACTCTCTCTGTCGGCACTCGATCCTTAGAAAAAGGGAAGAGCCAAATCGTGCACCTTCTAGGACCTCGCTCGGACTTCCTCGATGAAACCCTCGAACTCCGTCGTGAATATTCTAGAGTTACATCCGAAACCCTAGGAAATGATTTTCCACCGAGTCCTTCGTCGGCATCGAGGAGGCGTGGCGCGTCGACGGGGTCGCTTCCGTTGGTCGTTACCACCGACGAGGCCAGCTTGGAAAGTCAATCCTTCGGGTCGATAGCTCGAAGATCTGCCTCTGGCCAACTTTGAGGTCTCGGGGCCTGGCGTTCTCGTTAGCGGGCGGGCCCCTCGACGACGGCTGCTTCCGTCCCCGAGGAGAGCCAAGATGTACCGCTTTTTTACGTGCACGGGGCACGGATTCCAGGCTAGGAGAAGGTCTCTCGAGAGAACCGAGATTGAAGCCCCAAATCACGGAGTTGATCGATCGAGGACGTTCGTGAGGCCGGCGCAGGTTCTTGGGCACAAAGATGGCGGCGGGCTTTGGGACGCCTTTGATGCCTCGGGTTATTTCAGGACGGTGGACGGACGTCGAAACCGAATTCGTAATGGCAGGGGATTCCTGGTGGCGAATCTCCGAGACGCGAGGCCTCGGCGTCGGTTCTGCACTTTTTTCCGAAAACGCGAGACCAAGGGGGTAGGATTGGGAATTTGCTCGGGAAGAGACTCGGACCTCGGGGACGCCTGGCCTGTCAGAAAGCAAATTCCATCCGGAGCCCACTTCACTCGGGTCCACTCGACTCGAGAAGAAGTGAATGAATCGCGCGGAGTGAGTCGAGCTCGCCCCTGGACGACTTCTCAATGGAAGCGAAAGAAACCCGTGTGGTCATCTCGAGAGGTAGAGCAGCCCGATCGGACTTCGGGATGCTGCGTCACTCACCTCGCGTTTCGAGCCCACAATGGACCGTCGTTCCCTGGGGAGACGCGACCGTCGAATAAAAAATCGCCGGAGTGTCGAGGGCGCGAGTCAAAGGGTTGGGCAGCGTCGAGGAGGAATCCCCGAGGAAAGTTGATCGCGACGAGAGCGGAGAGCCGGGGAAAGGGCGAGAGAGCGAGGAGAAATGAGAAGCCCGAAAGAGGGAGAGGGTAAGGACGAGGCGCACTCGAGAGCTCTGTTGGTTTTGGCTCCGGGCCTTGCGCTCAGGTTGGACGGATGGAAATATCGGCCGCCAAAATAATTCGACAAGAAGGGCGACTCGGCGCATCCTCGACTGCGTTTCGATTGGCGAGCCTTTCAAACGGCGGAGTAGCTCCTAGAGTATCTTGCCTCACGCCGGGCTCGGTATATCATTCGTCGATGAATTGGTCCCAGAAGGCGCCGCTAAGATATTTCCGACGGCTCCGACGTCGACCCCTAAATCGAAATCGTCGGTGGTCTGACTTTCCCGAATATCCCTCGATTGTGCAGAAAAATTGGCGAGAAAGCAAAAGAGGTCGTC